GTCAAGAGATCAGCCAGATGTACGTGGGTCTATTTGGGCTTTTTATTCTGTTCCATTGATCTGTTTGTTTCCTCTCCATAGTCACACTGTTATGATTACCCTAGCTTTATAATAAGTCTTAAAGTCAGATAGTATTTTTCCTCTGAGTTTGTTTTCTTTTTCAGTATTATGTTGGATATTTTGGGTCTTTTGCCTCATTTAAACTTCATACTGAATTTGTTGCATCTACAAAATAATTACATTGAACCTCTAGGTTCAGTTGCAAAGAACTGACATTGTAATATCAAATTTGAATGTGGAGTATCTTTCCTCTTATTGATAAATTGATTTGATTCTTCAGAGTTTTAGTTTTCTTCATATAGAATGTTGTTGGATTTATACCCAAGTATTTTATATTTTTGAGCTACTATGAATAGTACAGCATTTTTAATCTTCAACTATTTATTGCTGACATAGGAAAGTGGTTGGCTTTTGTACACAAACTTGTTTATTTTGCCATAATCATGTATTAGTTCCAAGACAGTTTTGTTATTGTTGTCTCTCTAGTATTTTTTTTTACTGCACAGTAAAAAGATATGAACTTAGTAAAGTCATAATAATAAATATTTAACATTGATGTAGTATATAGATGTGTCACCCAGGTGCTACGCTGGAATTATAATTTTGCTATTCCATAACACTTCAGCAAAACTAGTAGTGTTATTTTGTTCCTATTGCAAATGAGAAAACTGAAGTTTATTAAACTATAGGAGCTTATCTGAAGTTGTTAGAGACAGAGCCAAACCATTAGCCTGGTCCTTCTTATGAGGAAACAAATAACTATAATATACACCACCAGTCACTCAAATATATGCAGAATGCTTATATTCCTCGTCCCGTTTAATCATACTGGTTGAGCCTATAGATGTAGGTATTTTTATGATATTTTACAATAAGGTGACTGAGGGTCCTGCAATTAAAAAAATAAAAACTTGATTATGTTTACACACTTAGAGGAGACACAGTTAAAACCCTTTCAGGAAGTGTGAGGGTTACTACAGGCAAACTTGAGGCTCAACATGATCATGAGAATTGAATGTGACTGGATCACTTATAGCTAGCAAAATGGGAAACTAGATACAGTGTTTTTGAAACTGAAATCAATTATGTTTTGATGTCAAATTTGACAAGACCCAAAATTGTGCTCATTAATTATATTTTTTATTTTCCTAAGCCTCTTTTTAAGTCTTGACATCTCTTAAGTGAATCACGCACACTTCCTCTTGGTTCTGAAGCGAACTGCCTACTGCCTGCCCTAGCTGGGTTCTGGATTTGGCTGCAACTGATGTCTGTTGGAAACAAGCAAGAAGGAATATGAGAGAAGCATGGCCAGGGCTCCTCATTAGCACAGCAACGCAGGAAGCATGTGAAAGTATTGATGCCTTTGTGTTGCCTTTGGGTGTTTTCTTTCTCCACTGCTAATGACTAATAAAAAGAGAGAGAGAAAGAGAAAAGAGAGAGGGAAGAAAGCCATTGCTATTAGATTTCCTTGTACTACAGCAGGTTTCTCATTTTGCAAAGCTCATTAGAGGTGGCTATATGGAAAGACTTCCAAGGTGCCCTGGGGATAATGGGAAAGGCAAAAGAGAAAAAAAGAAAGTTTCAGAAATATGGCCCCAGCCACAATTTCACATCAGAACCATCTGTCGTTAGGCCACATGTTCTGACTCCAATGTCTGGTTCATAGTTTGATTTTAATTGTGAACATTAAAAAATATATATGCATATTCTCTCTTTAGATCACCAGGGATGGAGTTGAAGACAAATTGATTTTATGTGGATACTTAAAATGTGACTTTGAAGTTTTTTCTTATCAGTTGCTTTATGTTAGGAGTTTTGAAAAATCTCTTTCCTTTAATTTTCAGTCCAATCTACTAGAGGTTCAATTTCACAAACATTTTTAGAGCATTTTCTGTGTGCCCAATACTTTTGTAGGTACCAGATAAGGAGAGAAAGGGTACAGTTTTTCTCTGCCTCTCAATTTAGAAAATATCAATTCAGGGCAGGGTGTGATAGAGAGAAGGATATTCAGTTTATGGTACAAGGGCATTTCTTTAGATTTAATAACTCTTACCAGAGATTGTGAGTAAAATATGTAGTTAGGAAAAAAATTTTTAAAAAAACATAGAAAAAGGGTCTCACGATATAAAGGAAAGAACCCCAAATTAGTAGCTGTATGTTCTATGTTCTCTTTTTAGTTTTATCATGTGACTTGGACAAATTACGTATGCTATCTGGGTAGGGATTAAAGAAAATAGTTTGAGGACCATTCCAGTTCTAAAATTTGTATTCTTCTTGTGCCTAGATATGACAGGCTTTCTGAGTTTTTTAAGCTGAAATTTGCTAGGGTGGTACATTCTAAAGCAGTAATAGCTACCATATTATTGAGAGCCCACTTTTCTCACACCTTGTGCTAAGCAGTTCGTTATATGGACTTTATCATCTTCACAGCAAGTATGTGAAGAAAAATGATTATTATTCTCATTTTTCTGATGAGGAAATAGGATCTCAGAAAAGGTTCAATCTTTTGTCCAACTAAAGTCATTCAGAAAATCACAGGTGAAACCAGGGTGCAAACCCAGTGTGTCTGCCTACAAATAATGATTGAAAAAAAGTGAGTGAAGATAAAAATTTCCAATGAAAAGGGAAATTCCAGGTTGGAACTTCCACTGTGCCCTGTGTTGGAACCATTTAGGGACACTTGTGTTAGTCAAAGAAATGACTTCAGTGCTTTAAAGCCCCCTGAGATGGGCAGAGCTCAGGTGTCCTGTCCCTTGACCCGGGTATGTGAAGAATGATGATTGTTCACCTTGAAATTCAGTCCCCAGCCCTTGGACTCACTGGGGAGCCAGCGCCTTCATGTACCTACTGTGCCTTGTCTCATGGCATCTTGGTGGAGTACAGTCCCTGCCTTTAACAGTATGCAGTGCAACGGTGCTGTGGATTAGAGCGTTACTAAGAACAGAAAATGCCGGAATACCAGAATATGACAATCCTGATCAGACTTGAAACATCCTTAAATGCACACAGATACTGGCTTCTGTCCTTGACTGTAATAAAATAAATAGTTAGGTCCCACAAAAGTTGGTCACCTGGGAAGAGAAAATGCTGCTCAAGGCTCCTCCTTCAGAAGGCTCAGCTGTCCCCTTGGACCAGGGAATTCATTTCTCACGCCCTGCACATCTGTGTAAGGAGACAGGTGTTAGTGTCAGATCTCTTTGACCACATCTGGGCTCTGTGATCTGAAGCAAGCCTAATTTTCCTCTGTGTATCTCACAACATGTGAAAAACAGAGATAAGCATAATGCTTTGTCAGAAAAATGAAGAGGTTGGACCAAGAAATGTTGAATTCTCCCCATCCCCAGCTCTAAAATTTTGTATCCAAGTATCTGGGCCTTTGATTTGTTCTCCTAAGATGAAAAGGGAAAAAGTCTGGAAAGACATTCCAGAGGCTATGATAACAACAACTCAGCTTGTACGTGATGTTATGACAGCACGAGGAATCCCAGTGCTGACACACAGGCAAGGAGATAGAAGGCAATGTGGCTGAGGAGAAGATAATGTTTCTGTAGCCTGCAATTTCTTTCAATTTCAGGGATCGCAATTACCAGGGCAGGAGTTAGTAGCAGCCATGCCTGGGATGCTTAAGTAAGTTTGGTGCCATTGGCAGAAGCAGTTTTGCAATTCATTTAGAGAAAGATGTTACATACAATGTATAACCGAGGCATAACTCTTTCACTCTGTCTCTGTCTCCGTCTCTGTCTGCATCTGTGTGTGTGTGCGTGTGTGTGTGTGTGTGTGTGTGTGTGTGTTCATGCAGCACACTGTGTATGAGTGAAGGGGCAGAGCCAGGGGCAGGAAAGAGACAGAAAGGCAGACATGGTCATGGTCAGAATGACAGAGCGAGGAGTGCCACTAACAGCCTTGAGTAGCAGATGACTCCTGGGTTATTTCATCTCTTCTAGCTCCAGTTTCCTCACATTTGAAATGGAAATAATAATACCTACCTGGCAAGATAGTTGAGAAGGTTGGAAACAAAGCTTTCTGATCACCTAACACATGGAGTACACTCAGTATAGGACAGTTAGTCACTATTATCAGTGTGTGAGTCCACCTGGGACACTCAGCCTGCATTGGTATTTTCAAGAAGTCAACTTTCACTTTTCAGCATTTCATTTATGGGAAAAATTAAACTTTCACCTTCATAGGTTTTAAGAACATGGAGTTAGGATTTTTTTTTCCAAACCCAGCCTTTAAACCTTATGTATTTAACATTTTTATGTATTTATCCCTTCACTTAAAAATAAAATTAGATCAATTCCCAGTACCCAACTAAGTAAATTAATTAAATTAGAATGAAGTACTTAACACTGAAGGTTGTTGTGAGTGTGAAGTGAGATAATATGTGCAAAGCCCTTAGAACAAAGTCTAGCACACTCTAACAGTACATACTACCTTTTAAAATAATGCTAGTTATTTTAATTCCATGTGCTAAATAGCTAGGAAAGAGAAGAAGATGGGAAAGGAGCAGAAAAGAATAAGGCAATGACCTGGACTCAGCACTGGGAATCCGTGTTACACCACCTAATGTATTATTTCCCTACATTTTCCTTCAACTAGGAGGCTATATTAGTCAGCTTCCATATTACTAGACACATTACCTGAAACCCACAATGTAAGGGAGAAAAGGTTTACTTTCACACATATCTTAAGGAGACTCAGTGCATGACAGCTAGCTCTAAGGCAGAAGAAATATAGCAGAAGGGCATGATGGAGCAAAGCTACCTATTTCATGGTAGCCAGGAAGCAAAGCAGAAAAACAGTGCCAGAGAGGAAATGGAAAGGAATCAAAGCCAGCACCCCCTGCCCCACCCAGAACACACAAAGAAGTGCGCTCCACCAATCTCCAGGGCAGTTCCCAAGCCAGCCAATTTGATGCAATCAAGCTTACACATCACATGAACATTCATTCATTTTTTATTAAAAAAATGAAAAGAAAGGAGATTAAGATAAAAGAGGACATAGCAACATAATAACACAGGTCAGAACAGAACAATTTAAGCAACATAGTGTTTCACCACAAGATAACCCGACATAATAGTAGCTACCATAGTGTCTCTTTCCTTGAAATATTTGAGTATAACTTCATATATTATAGCATCAAACACGACATGACAGTATAAAACCATTCAAGAGAATGAAAGTATTACAGGGTATTTAGAACCAGAATAACAGAAAATGAACAATGGTTTCTATAATATCTCTTTGTCTATAAAAAATTTGGTTTACACTATCACATATAATAAAATCCAATAAGATACAACATGATAAACTGATGGAGACAGAAGAACAAAAGCATCATGGGACTTCAAAACAAGATGATATTAAATCAGTACTAGCTATTATATTGTCTTGTTTTCTTCAAAATAACTGTTCATACCATCACAGACAATAAAATCAAACAGCCCAGAATAAAACCATTCCAGTTAATGAATGAAACATTATAAGGCTTCAAAGCAATATAATGGGGAATCATGTTTACCACATACTTTTATGTATCTTTACCATTTCTTACACTAGGTAAACTATTCGGTATTTATACATGTGAGTTTGACTTATTTTGCTTATGAGTAATGGTCTCAAGCTGCGCCCATTTATTTATAAATATCTCAATGTGATCATTCTTTATAGCTGAGTAGTACTCCATTGTATAAAAATACCACAACTTTTTTATCCATTCCTCAGTGGATGGACACTTAGGTTGTTTTCAAAGTCTGGCTATTACAAATTGTGCTGCTATAAATATGGGTGCACATATATCACTGTGGTATGACATTTTCAGTTCTTCTGGGAATATGCCTAGAAGTGGAATATCTGGAACAAATGGGACTTCCAATCCAGGCTTTTTGAGAAATCTCCAGACTGACCTCCACAGTGGTTGCACTAGGCTACACTCCCACCAACAGTGCAGGACAGTTCTTTTTTCCCCACAGCCTCTCTAGCATTTGTTGTTGGTGGTTTTCTTGATCTCGGCCATTCTTTCAGGAGTGAAATGAAATCTCAGTGTGGTTTTAATTTGCATTTCTCTAAGGAGTCATGATGATGAACATTTTTTCATGTATTTATTTGCCATTTGTATTTCTTCATCTGAGAAGTGTGTATTCATCTCAGATGCCCATTTTTGGATTGGATGTTTGAATTTTGGGGGTCTGATTTTTTTAAAATTCTTTATATGTTTTAGACAGAAATCCTTTGTCTGAGGGACAGTTCACTAAGATTTTTTCCCAGTTTGTGGGTTTTCTTTTCACTATGCTGGAGATTTCTTTTAACGTGCAGAAACTTTTTAATAAGAGGTGATCCCAGTTATTGATTCTGGGTATTATTTCCCATGCGGTTTGATTCCTGTTCATAAATTCTCTACCTACCCCTATGTCTTCAAGGTTTTTACCCAATTTGTCTTTCAATAGAGTTAGTGTTTCTGTTTTAATATTCAGATCTTTGATCCATTTAGATTTTAATTTAATATATGATGATATACATGGATCTAGTTTTAGTTTTCTGCATATGGAGAGCCAGTTTTTCCAACACCATTTATTAAAGAGACTGTCGTTTTTCCAGGGAACATGTTTGGCCCCTTTATAAAAAATAAGGTTGTTGAGTGTGTTTGTGGTTGTGGTTGTATCTTCTAATCTATTCCATTGATCATTTTTGAGTAAACATTTATCGAGTGCCTGTCACGTGGGTGGGCTAAATGCACAGCTTTGAAGAAGACAGGCACTGTATTTGCCCACAAGCACTCATGGTTCAGAGAGAGAGAGATGGCATGACCACAAATAAGGGTCTGGTATAAATGGCAGACTAGGTACTGTGGAAACATGGAGAGGTGGCATCTAATCTTCAAATGAAAGGAAAGGCAGTGGTGCTGTCCTCCTAGGAGAGGCAAATAAAACTTATTTGCGTATGATAGGCAGAAGATTATGTTCATGTCTTAATCCCCAGAAACTGAATACCATACATAGTAAACAGCGAGGTAAGACTGCGGGTGAATGAGGTTGCTACTCGGCTGGTTTTGAGATAAATAAATTTTCCTGGAGTACCACATGGGTGCAATATAATTACAAGGATCTTTAAGTGGAAGAGGGAGGCAGAGAATGAGTCAGAGAGTGTGATTTGAGGAAGAGTTGATTTGCCTTGGCTACCTTTGATGATAGAAGAGAGCAGTGAGCCAAGGAATGTGGGTGGCTTCAGGGAGCTAGAGATTGCAAGGAAACTGATTCTCCTCTAAAGCTTCTAGAAAGAATGCAGCCTTGAAGACACCTTGGGTTTAGCCCAAATGTCCATGCTAGGCTTCTGGCCCACAGCACTTTAAGATCGTATGTTTATGTTGTTTTAATTCACTAAGTTTATAGTTTCTTGTTAGGCAGCAATTACAAATACATGGAGTTAGGACCATCCGCTTAGGAAATCATTTGGCTGCATGATGCTAAATGAACTGGAGAGGACAAGTATGAATGCTGAGTCCTGATGAGAGTGGAGGGTGTCCTCATCCAGAGCAGATGACTGCTAGGCAATGTGTCTGCACTAGACTCTGGACTCAGACTGTAGGGAAGAGGGCTTGGAGGGGAAGCAGCCAGTACACCCCTGCAAAAGAGAAGCACACAGTTGGAGATGAGTGACAGACATGCAGGATCACACATGGCAGAATGTGCAGATCTTGAAGCCAGAGCCAGAATCAAGGGCTATGAAAGCCAAAGGACATTACTTCCAAAGAAAGGGCTCAGGGACAGTTTCCTAGAAGAGATGACACCATGAGTTTTGTCTGGGAAATCTCAAGATGATTAAGAAGAGGTTGCATAGAAGAATCAGCACAGTCTCTGTTCTGAAGGCATCGATACTCACAGGTTGTTAGGCCAATTAAATGGTCACTTTCACTGATCCTCGGAACATGCAAATGGAACAAGTCCAGGCTGGAAATCAAGATTAAGGCTTGGTAGCCAGTCCAGGTGCTGTAAAGGAAGAAAAAAATCTGGGAGTTCTTAAATGAGCCACTTCCCTGCCTTCTCTGTCTTGTCTCCCATCAGATAGGAATGGTGATGAGCATCACTCCCGGGACCCTCAGCTGTGTTAGAATGGCCCCACATTTTTGGGTCACTGCGCAGTCAGTGGATTGATTTTGCAGCCTGGAAGATAGGGCTTCTGAACATCACTGTACTTTGGAAGGATTGGCAGCCCTCAGAGATCCACCTGAGAGGTGGCTGAGCTTGCAAAATATTCTGGGGTGAGGTGGGGAGTTTCTCAAGACCTGAATCCCTTCCTGCAGTTCTAACAAAGAGCAGTTACACTGAGATGAACTGATGCTGGCACAGACAGAAATGGGACTGAGCTTCAATTGTGGGCACATACACATTGGTCTGTTTTCTGGTGGTAGTCAATAAACCAAGGCATGTCTGGAGGGTTCTGATGCTTAGTAATGACGGAAGATTGGGAAGACAGGCCCGTACAGTCAGTTTGGGAGCACAGGCTTAACTTTGTATTTAGAACTGCCTGATAGATCCCATGACTTCCACTCCCATTACCTAACATAGGCAACTGATGCTGGGGACAAGCAGGTTCTACTTCCAGTCTCTCAGATCTGTGCCTCTTCTCTATACTCTGCCACACAGCTATCCCATCACTTTTTATCTGGATTGTTGCAAATCTTCATAAACAGACTCCTTTTTTTCGAATTTGTTTTCCTCATTCTAACCCACTCCAACTTCTGCACAATAGCCTGACAATCTTTCTGAAGCTCCAGCTCATAAAACTGCCTTCCTGCTGAAAGCCCTGCAAAGAGTCTGATTGCCCTCAGAATAAAGACTATTTCAGAGAATCACATAAGAGCTGACCCCCCTGCACTTCTCTAGGCCCATCTGGTTTATACTCAATGTCTTAGCATCTTTCAGTTTCCTGACTGAGCCATGCAAGTATTTTATCCTAATCTCTCTCTCTCTGTCTCTGTCTCTCTCTCTCTGTCTCTCTCTCTCTGTCTCTCTCTCCCCCTTTGACTCAAATACAAAACCTTTAGACCTTTCCGTGAAACGTTCTTTTTGCTTGAGCCCCCCCCCCAATCTGTCTTTCCTACTCTTGTTCTAAATAATGCTTTCAAATCTATTTCACTTCCTTCAGGAAGTCTTCCACACTTCCCCAGTCTGCATTAAGCATTCCTCTTCTGTGCTTCTTTTGTTCCTGAATTTCCCATATGAATATTTAGTTTCATTATTCTGACCTAAAACTGTCTGTTTACACCATCAAGGTTTCATATATTTTTCACTACAGCTCCACATTCAAATCACTATAGTCTTAATTTTATACAACAGACATAACCATTTCCTCCAGTTTCCACTACACCAATAACATAAAAGTTCTTCCACTTGCTGATTAAGGATATAAAACATCTTATCTACAATAACCAGTCTATTCATAGTTGCCCAGCAGCGCTTCCTCTTTTATACCAAACAGTCTCAGCACCGCTCAACTTTGCCTCAAGGTGCAGGCAGATATTGGTAAGAGAGTCTCTGGGACAAAGCCTTCTGGATCCTTGCAGGTATTCACTACATGGTTTTTAGTTTGAGCTGTCAATAGATCCGGTTTCTATCATCATATGAAAAAATTAAACAGTTTTTTAAAGAGGTGCAATATGTTAGAACCCGCATCCAAAGTCCAAAGTCATTAGGGCTTTCTATGCTGACCTCCATTTGTTCTGATCTGGGCTTCTTCCATTACCACTGCATCTAGAGGAGCAGGGATACTGTGCCAAGAAGTCTTGGCAGTGTTTCCTCCTTTACCTTGTGGGTGTGCAACATTCAGGCTTGAATTCAAGCTTTTTACTTCACTACCATTACTCCTCATGGGAGTTCCTATTAGCTTATTGAATGAAAGGACTTACAAATTCCCCAGACGATGTCTTTTTAAAAATTTTTCTGAAATTTTATTTTAGAGAGAATAAAACCAAGTAAAATAAAACAGAATAAAGCCAATAAAAACAAAACTGTGTAAGTGACATAGGATTTCAAAACAAGATAATAGGAAATCAACAATAATTACCATAATGCCTCTTGTTGCCTTCCAAATAGCTGCCCATACCTTCAGATACAGTACAAACAAACAAAACAGAAATAGAATAGAATACATAAAAACAAAACATGGGATGCAATACAGGACTTCAAAAGGAGATACTAGTAAATTCAAAATGACTACCTTAATATATCTTAATGTCTTTGAAATAGCTGCCCATGCCATCAGATACAGCAAAATCAAACAAGATAAAACAGAATAAAATCCCACCAAACCAAAAAAAAAAAAAAAAAAAAAAAAAGAAAAAAGAAAATGATACAGGATTTTGAAATAAGATAATAGGAAATTAACAATGGCTATCACCTTCAGAACGAGACCCCCCCCCCATAGATGCTACTTTGCATATTGTTATCCTCTGCGTAAATGATCAGACTACTGCTCTAGGTCTGCAAAGTCAGTGAAACAATAAACACTGCAAGCATTAAGTTGTATTTTACCTCCTTAGCTATCATCACAGCCTGTGTTCCTCTGGAGCTGGTAGCTTATGGCAGAGCGGGTGGTGCGTGTTAGGAGGAACACTGGCTCTTCTTGTCTCCCTGCCCACACGCCACAAGAGGCTGGCATGTGGCTCTCCCCCAGTCAGCCCACCCATGGCACCCACTTACAGGAGGTCTTGGCTTCTTGTTGACTTCTTGCCGTCCTTCCCCACAGTCTGCGAATGTGCAGATTCACAGGAGAGAGCTGGTGTCTGCCTCTCTCCCAGTCTGCCTGTGCATGGCCTCCCCAGACCATGTCTTGATTCTAGGGGATAGGGGGCTGGGGATTTAGCTCAGTGGCATAAGCGCCTGCCTTGCAAGCAAGCAGTCGTGAGTTCGATCCCTGGTACCGATATAAACGAAAAAGACCAAAAAAAAAAAAAAAAAAAGTTGATTCTAGGGAATCAAGTCCAGTTGGCCCTGTTTACCTGCCCTGTGGCTCTGGTGACCTACCCTGAGATTTTCTCAAAATCCTTTGCTCCTCATTTAGATAAACATATGTTGGTAAGATTTGCATACTTTAGAGTGCACAGAGAACATGCTCACCTTCAGAAGGTTGGAAGTTGGGATGCTGAGATAATCACATCTGCACTCTCGGCCTCTTGGTCTTTGTCTTTAGTAATGCCTTCCTTGCAGCACCAGAAGCAGAGAGAAAGGTTTTCTATTTCCTTTTCCAGTCTGGTGGGAACAGGCTTTAAGGCCTGTGCCACCTATATAGTAAAATAAAACACAATGCAATGAGTTGACCTGGCATGGCTTTTGACATAGCCAAGAATCTTCACTCTCAGCACAGACTAATCCGAAATGACAAAGCCAGCTTTGGCATGCAAAGCTGGATATTGACCCTTCTTTTCTGGGTGGTATCTGCTCCTCTAGGAAAAGGATGGAGGCTCTGGGTTTGGTGTGAGTAATGTCCCAAACACATGTCTGGGAAGGAATATGATCCCTTTTAATATTTTCAAAAATATGAAACTTGCACAATATGTAGGAATTATTTGTATATGTATGTTGCCTATCAACCAGTGACTAATTGGAGGACAAAAATAATGTCTTTTTTATTGCTGGGTTTCCAGTGCCTAGTACACAATAGTAAAGATTGTTGAATGAATTGATGAATAGGTGAAAAGTATAATGAAAGTCTTATAGCGCTTGAGTCTTGAGTGCTTGAGACAAGAATGTAAACTAGTGTCCCTCAATAAGAAGTACACCCTGGGTCTTCCAACTGCTCCCCAAGAAGGACAGCGCTTCAGAATGACTGCAGATGGGACAATGTTAGCATTAGATTGATCACCCAGTGCCTACAACAGAACAGGTAACAAATTCAATTTTCTACACCTCCCAGCCCAAGGTTCAGACAGGTATTTCACACCAGCCCTTCTCTCACCCTTGCTGATTCCAAAAAAGGAAAGCTGGTTTCCTAAATCATACAGCCTGGCAGTGACAGAACCAAGAGAACACAGGTTTCCTGAAACCTCGTTTCCTGAACACACTAAAGGTCAGCCAAAGCCACTTCTTTCCCTTGGTTGAAAGGCTCAATTCAACAGGAGGTGAGAGATGAGGCTGATGTCCTCATTATTTTTCAGATTATGATGTGACCCTTTTGGGAGGCAGCCTAGGAAGAGCAGTAAGACAGGCAGAAAGAGTGAGTTCCTCTCTGCAAACTTCCCAGCGCCCAGGTCAGAGCTCCTTGGCTTCTCCCAGGTAAGAAAAGGCTGCAGAGAGAGAGCTGGCTGGCTCTAGGGTGATTTACCTCTTTGAAATACCTCAATTTAAATGCTAATTTCCCCAGAACTGAGGGGTGATGGCTCTTGCTTGCTTCTTGCTGTGTATTAATGTATCCAAACCACTCACACATATTCTTAAAAGAGAGAGGAAGGGAAGGGCCTAGAAAAGGTGGGGGAGGGTAGCAAAGGAGGTCAGCTTCCCTTGCTTGGGATTCTCCTCAGCTTGGCTGATTATAATGAAGCTCGGTTGGGTGTATGTATTCTCAGTGGAAGTACTCTGTAGGCTGTGTAGCTTTTAGAGGTGATATGTAGGTGGTGTTGGAGGATAAAGAAGTCTCCTCCCCTCTATGCATGGTTCACAGATGAACCGGTATACCGAGAGCCAAGTACTGTGCCAAACACCCCAAGATCCTTGAAGAGATTAAAAGTCTAATGGGAGATTCAAGAAAATAATGAGAATTAAAAGTGACTTTATATAAATCCTTCTCCCAACCCCTGGAAGCTAACTAATGTCATTACCAATGTTCTATGCAGGAAACCATTAATGCTTGTAGATTAGATCCAATCTCCCTTACCCAGAATTTTGACCCATTACTCTATGCATATTCTACCATCAGATCCTATAGCCACTAGAGTAATCTATGGACAAACAAGAGAGAAAGGTGATAAAGAAGGATTTATTCCAACCAGGGAAGGTTGCATTGGTGTTGTGAAGAAGTGGTTTTGAACAGGGCCTCTTGCTTCCTGCTGACAGCCCTCACCCTATCTGCTTCTCAGCTTCCAATCCTCCAACATGTGGAGGCACAGGGCAGACCTGTGCACCCCCCTACACACACTCTAGGAGAGATATCTTTTCCCATCTGATCCCTGCTAGCCCCGTTGTCACTGGGTCCTATTTTCTGGTCTCCTTGGGACCATGGTGACTATGCCCATAGGAAGTTTGGGCAATAAAATATGATTTTAAAGCTTATTATGAAAGATTTGGGATTTCACAGTCAAATGTTCAGTATTCCTTATATCTTGAAGCCTTGTGGGACCTTATGGCAAGACATCAGACAGGGCTCTAGCAAAAGATATAGGTTGACTACACCTTGCCTTTGTTTCTTGGTTTCATTTCCTCATTTTTCGAACAGATTTTCCGTGAGCACCTACTGTTCACCATTTTTCGCAGTCTTATTCAGTCTGCATGATTAAGTCCTGATGCCGCCGCGGTACTTTGGACACGTATACTTTGGTCCTATGTGGAGCTGACAGCCTGTGAGAGAAATGAGCATCAGCAGGTCTCCCATGGGTTGGTCTAAGGTTAGAAACTCTGAAGCCCTCCTTCCTGGCAGAAGAGAGCAAGATCCTAGATTTCTCAAAGGTGATGAAGTGCTATGTGGTTTGAGTGGTGAGTAGGAGTCATGCAGATAAAGAAGAATGGAATATTCCTCATTAAGGAGCTTGAGGACAGTCAGTGCAGATGGAGAACAGTGGTCCAGAGTATGGAGCAGGAATAGCCAGGCTTATACTGTGAGGGGCCTTGTAGACTTCAGTATGGCATTTAGACTTTCTTGACTTTCACAAATGGGGCCTCTCTTCTGATTTTCCACTGCTGTATCCCTTAGTGCCCAGATTAGCCACTAAAATAGGACAGACCCTTAGTAACTATTTGTGGGACGAATGACACCTCTTATTCCTAGAGTCCCCAGAACTCAGAATCTACTTTTTCAAAAATTTGGTGAATCATTTCGATATAATACCAACTGAAATTAAACTGTTTTTACCAAAACGTAAATGTATTTTGAGAGAGCTGGGCCTAAACCAACAGTGGCTGTGTTGCTAATTTGAAACATGACACTCACTCATGCAACACATACAAAGATATGCACATTAAATCAACTCTGTGTGCAAAAAGCACTCTGCAGAGGTGGGGAGCAACCCATCTGCCGGCCTCATCTTTGCAGGATTCAGTTTATTCCTGTGATCAAGTGTACAGATATTTGCTTGATTAATTAAACATGTACTTTCTGAGTGTCAGGCACGAGCTAGACACTAGAGAAGTTAGAATGTGATCTTGGGCACTGTCACTTCCTAACTGTAGACCTCGGTTTAAAAAATTCCTTAACTTCTTGATGATTTGTTTTTTCATCTATAAAATGGAAATAATAATAGTAATTGTCTCATAGTTTTTATGAGACTAGAATGGCACATGTATACATATCTCAACCTACAACCATGAACAAAGGTGATGAGAAAAACATACAATCAATAAATTGTAATAAATGCTACTTATTATTCTTTCTAATTACCTAATACCTTTTAACACACACATACCCCACACACGGAGGAGTTCTGAGAATCAGATGGCAGCTTTTGACTACCTGAGTTTCAGCCAGCCTCCTATCAGCTTCCTCCTGGGTCACCTCTCCCAAGTGAGTGGATTCTGAGACTGTGGCCTGGTCTTCCATCTGAACTTCCGGATGGCTCTTTTCCACCTTCAAGGTTTGCCACATTGCAGAGCTGATGGATGCGAAGGCCCAGGGCGCCCTCTGCTGGCAGAGTCTGTGCAGGACTGTGGCTGTCACCAAGGCAGCCACCGAGGGAACAAGTAGGGGTAGAGGGACAGTTCTTGATTTGTCATTCTGTACTTCTTCCTTGCCTGCCTCCTGGTAGGCCTTCAGCGCTGACTCGCTAACCACTCCCTTTGTCACCTTCTTCCTCATGCGCTTCCTGAAGTCCCTCTCTGCTTTCTGGAATATTAGAAAAATTTCAATCCAAGAGAAAATCTCATCCTGAGCCAGGCATTGTCTCCTTAGGTGACCACTATATTCCCTTCCAATGTCCTGACATAGTTTCCTACAAGGTTCACACTGACCTGGCCAGAGAGCAGAGGGACTGGTGGAGAGGGCATGGACAGGACAGAGAATGCCACGCATTCCTCCTCTGCAGTATAAAAACATTTCTAGAGGAGATTGAAAATGGAGGCCCTAAGTGACAAAGTTAAATAAGCTAAATTTCTCCTTTGGTCCTGCTTACCAAATGCCTTCCTAGTTTAAATCTGTAGAAATCACTCTTTTCTCCATTTTCTCCTTGCTTAAGTGGGGGGAATGTGCCCCACACTTGTGCCCATCTTTCGGTGTGGGCATGAGGACTGGTGAGGTCACTCTGAGAACAGAGCATTGCTGAATGATCAGGTTGTAATGAACCATGGATCCCTTCTCTTAGCTGTAGCCTTTTGGGGGGTAGTGCACCCACAGGCACATCTGTCCTTCTGGCTTTGGCGGCTTGTGTCAGTCCTGTGTGTGGCTCTCAGTACCTGCAGCTGAGTGAGGAGTCCAAGCTTTAGGGCCAGACTACTTCTTTTTCCCAGCTGTGTTGAATAGCTATTAAACTTCTTAGTGCTTCAGCTTTTCAGTCTCAAAACGGGAATCTCAAGGGCACCTACTTCATAGGGTTGGGCAGTGGTAAAGTATTTGCAACTACTGAGCATAAAGAGTTCTCAGTAAAGTTATCATTGTTCTGATATAGCAGGATGAGTGGCTTTTATGATCCCTGTTTTAAAGGTGACAATATTGAGGCTGGGGTGATTCTATCTGGTTTACCCAGTTTTGTAGGCAAAACTGGAGCCCTGTGTTCAGCGCTACCATCATCTCCTCATGTGTGACCTTTTCTATATAGATAACAAGGGCCTGGGTCCTGTGAGAAAGGGGCTACCAAACAGAAGCACTCAGCTCACCCAGAATCATGATAGCACACTCCATTGACCATTCTGCATGGCCAGTGTGTGTCTCCTCTCCCACCAGCCTTGGAAGATGGAGAGGACAGTGGTGAATGCAATCTATGCATCTATAGCATCCAGTCCAGGGCTTCTCTCTGAGTACAGATTCAGCACATCCTGGTTGACTGACTGGTGTGTGGAATACTTCTCTACCCTGCTATACCTTTGATGGAAGATTTGTAGGATCAGAGGCTGCTTCACAGTGGAGGCATGAAGCAACTCAGTCTCTTACCTCTGGTGGGTGTCACATGCTATGGGACAGCACTTCCTTTACCTGGAAGTTGGTGTTTTTTAATTTGCGTTGCTGTTCCATGCTCCGGTTTGTAAACAAAGCCAAGAACAACCACCAAAGTAGAACACACATGCTGCCACAGACCTGAAGTAGGAGCCAACACACACACACACACACACACACACGGATGCTTAAGTGTTGAATGTAGATTTAGAGCCTCACCATCATGCACAAGCATCCCCAGCCATGCAGTCCAAGGGACAGGAAGATCTGGATTCAAATCCTATTCCTACTAACTCACAATCTCATTGTTACTCATCTGTAATGTAAAATAATAATATCTACCTTTCAGGGTTACTGTGAAGATGAAATGACAAAATGTAGGTAAAGTTCTTAGCTAGATCCTAGATAATTAGAGGGAATCCAATAAAAGCTGTAATACAGGTGGCAGTGACAAAGTGAGAAATGATGATAGTGCTGCTGGGATGATGAAGATGGAGAGGGCATTGCTCCTCCTCCAGAAGCAGGCATGGAGAAACATGTTCATTACACGAATGAATTAGTGGTGCCTGGAGCATGGAGTGAGGATGTGGAGTACAAACAACGGGATGACTGAGGTCATCTGACACTTCCACAGCTGCTTTTAAACTGCCTGAGGTCCTGACTTCAAAGACATTGCTTTAGTATCACGGATTTTTGCTTCTGTCTTTCTGATTTTCATTTCAAGGTTGCCTATTCCAGGTGGCAAAACGAAATGATAAACATCCTCCTCCCTTTGTTCTTTTCCTCCCTCTCCAGATTGTAATTAGTGTCTATAACTCTGAGGATCTCTGCATATGAAGTAACCTCAAAAGTCAGATTTAATACAGAAGTGCCCTTGATATCACCCGAACCAATTGGCTGTCAAGTTCCCTGTTTGCACCCCCCTCCCCCCAGCGAGCTTTCCGCCTCCATTGGCAGCTGTTCAGTTTTTAGGCAGATCTTGCTTACTGGAGTGAAACCTGCCTCCCTGTCCCTCTTACAACTTCTGTTGTTCAGGCCTCTGTCCTCTGGAGACACTCAGGTGTATATTTTCTGTTCCTGGGGTTACCCTTCATAGAAGAGATAGAGGGAAGTCCCTGTGAGTTTAGGGCATGATATTATTAAACAAATGACTACCCTTTTCAGGCCTCAGTTTCCTCATCTGTAAAAGGAATTTAAGCTAAAATATCTCTCAGGACCCTCTCACTTTAACACACTTTTAAGATTTTTTCCAAGCCTTCTTTTCTTTAACTTATTTTTGTCCCCTTACTCTTCAGACTTCATACTCATCTCAGCTCCCTCATATCATGGTGTATTATTGCCATTGCTAATGCAAGAGGACAGTTAGCAGCCAAATAGCTTATAGAGCGTTGTAGGGTGTCCTAAACAACTGGCAGCTTTATCCTACTAAGCGTTTATGGTATCCATAAGATCGAAGTCTCACTTTATAGAGAAGGAAACTGAAGTTCCAAGAGAAACAATAAGTTGCTTGAGATCGCACAGCCAGTAAATGTTCGGGCCAGGATTTGAAGCCCAAGCCTGCCTGCTGCCTGGCTGCCCAGCTGCCTGCCATTAGCATGTTGTTCTTAGAGCCAGGATTCAGGGAACCAGAAGCATCCAGGCAAACCAGCCAGGCATGGGTTTCTCCAACCAGGGAACTTCCTGACTTCCTGCCTTGCAGCCCAGCAGCCTCCGCTTCCTCAATTTTGGCAGCCTCTCTGCTCCTCTCCACAGGGAGAACAACTTCATCAAGGACTTTCCTCAGCTGGCTGACGGGCTGTTGGTGATTCCACTGCCAGTAGAGGAGCAGTGCCGGGGAGTCCTCTCTGAGCCCCTGCCCGACCTCCAGCTACTCACTGGTAAGATGCGTGTCCCGTAACCTCGTTGGGCTTCAGGTCTATGCTAGTCCTCAACAGATCCAAGAGGAGGATATCCAGGCCTCCTCGGGGGTGGTGGGCAGGGACCTCCCAGTTCTTGGGCTCCTGCTATTGTGTCTCACCTGAGGGACTTTGCTGAGATCCCAGGTTCTGGTTGGAACTGCTTTCAAGGACAGGCTTCTCTGAGAACAGGAACAACCTTTCAACCTTTCTCAGTGAGGGTTTTGCCTCTGTGTCTAAGTATCAAAACATTTTTCACTGTCTTGACAATGCTCTGATTTTTTTTCTTTTACTTTCAGTATTTTGTTTTCTTGGTTCATCTAAAGTTCATTGTAAAGTCAAGTCAGCAGACTGTCCAACCAAGAGCGTCGCACACTTGAAAACCCTTGAGTTTAAAAAAGAAAGAAAGAAAGAAAAGAAAACACTTGAGTGATACAGCTTGTTTTTGTACTAGGCACTGAGCCATTCCCCTGATGGGAATTATGTTTTCTATTTTACAGTTAAGGAGTCTAGACTCAGAGAGTTGAAGACCAGCCCAGGGTCACACGGGCTGGCTGCCAGAAGCAGAACCTGGGCTTTTGCCCTTTTGCTAGCTCTGTGGCTCCCACACACCCTACTGTGAAGCTGTCTTCTGCAGACTCTTTTGAGGCCTCATATTTTCTGCCTCACCTCAGCACACCTTTCTCCTCCTCATCGTCTCCTGCTATTCCTTTTCCACCTGTTTTGGGGTGGTTTTTCCAAGATATGTGGGCCTGGACTCTGCTTTGTGATATAGTAGTTGTATGGCGTTTACTCCCAGAGAAAATGGTCACCCCTATGCATGATTGAGCTCCATCACTTAGAGGGGAATTGTCCCCCAGGGAGGATCTGCAATGTCATAGAATTAGGTTTAAATCTCCCCCAATGCTTCTGACGCCCAGGCAAGCTAACTTCTTTGAACCTTTCTTATTACATGGCACTGACAGAGAAGAAAACTCACATGGGTCAGGGGCCTCCTTGGGTCCAAGACCTTTTATATATCAACATATATAATCCTGTAGGGGCATTATTGTTCTTGGTTAAAGGAACTGTATCTCCTGTAAGACCCCACAACTGTCTACAAATGTTTCGGTAGGGGTTAAGCCTTGCTGGTCTTGACTCCAAAGTTCTCTATTTTACATCACCTCCTTGACCTGTCCTACTTCAAAGAGAGACCTGGACGTAGATCAGAAAAAAATCCAGATGAACTCTTAAAAATGCTTTGTAAGATGTGCCTAAAAGCTTTTATGCCTCCTTATTTTTTAATTTTTCATAAGGCTATAGAAATTCCAAAGTATATTTAGTCAGATTTTCCTTTCTAATAAGGAATTAAATCCAGAATACTCCTGCAGAGAAAATGATTTTCTTTGGATACCTCCAGTGCCAAGGAGTTATCACCTCTGAGCAAATATTTTCGTGGTCCATGGTGCAGTGCTGTGTTTAAAGGTGCCTGGCCCCATCGTTGATCCTTGCATGCCACTGATTATTTTCCTTCTTTGAGCTTGGGTTTCTCACTTTAAAAAATGTAGTATAACAATTACGGTTAGAAATGAAGATCATGTGTATAGAATTCTTGGTTTACTGTGCTTCTCTTGTGACGATACAAATTATTGTTTTTTTATTATTTATTTTATGTGCTTGCAGTACATGAAGTTTACGTTCATTTTAGGGAGTAGGTGTGTGTACCTACCATATCTTGATTCTTTTCATTCCCCTTCCTCGACACACTTTCTTTCCTCCCTGTCACTAGATCCCCTCTCCTTGTTTTCATTAGGATTGTTACTATTTTTTCTCACACTTGGGACATATAATGATTACATTCACTGAGGGTATTTGGTGCATATGCATAACACATCTGAAATATTCTTATACCCCCTCTTCTGATCCTTGGTTTATTGGACTCCTTCTCACTTCAAAAGATCTATCTCGGTTTCTTTTAATCAGTCTTCTGTTTTGTCTTTATTTACATTTTTAATCATTCAAATGAGAGAAACTATACGGTCTTTAAACATATCTGATTTATTTAATTTAGGATTAGGTTTCCCAGGTGTGTCCATTTTCCTACAAATGTCTCAAATTTATCCTTTATAGCCAAGTAGTATTCCATTGGGTATAGATACCACATTATCTTTATCTATTTGTCTTTGGACATAGTAGGTTTCTTCAAGGAGTTAGTTATTACAAATTGTGCTAACGTGAATATGGGTATGCATGCTTCACTGTAATTTGATGTCATTATTTCTTTAGAGAAGATACCTAGCAGGGAATAGCTGGGTCAAATGGAATTCCTGTTTTTAGTTTTTTGAGAAATCTCTATGTGGATTTCTATAACGGTGGCACTAATTTACATTCTCACCAACAATGTAGAAAGCTTCCTCTTTCACCACAGCCCCGCTGTCCTGTTAACTGGTTTCTTGATGATCACCATTTTTCCTGATGTAAGATGAAATATTTATGTTGTTTTAACTTTTATTTCTTCAGTGATCAGAACTGAACATTGTATCACAGGTCTTCCTATATAGTCTGGGCCAGTCCCAAACCGTGGCTCAGGTTGGCCCCCAAATTCATGATCATTTTGCTTCAGCCTCTCAAGTACTGAGATTACAAATCTGTGCCATTCTTACTGACTATATTATTTGTTTTGACTCAGAAATCTTTCCAGTAAAGGAATTTTTATAGCTTAAGAGGTTTTAAAAATTTAATTACAAAGAAAAAGTATTCTCTCATCCCAGAGTTTCATTCTATGCCTATAAATCCCAGGTAGGAATCTAGGAGGGAACAGGGGGTGATGGTGACCAGGCAAAATATGAAAACAAGGAATGGAGTGACTGGTATGAATCAAGTGTTAGGTAATTTTTGAGAAACTACTATATGCTGAGCTCTGTTTTATGTTGGCTGAAGAAATGCAAATAATACAGATCACAGCTTCATGCTC